GCTTTATACATGCTATTCGGTGATGTAATCGTACCTCATATGCTTCATTAAGATGTGTATAAGAGACAGGCTTACGTCATCGGAATTGGAAAACGGTGATTGGCTTGCACGTACGGCATCGAATTGCAGGAAGCAGGAAGTGCAAGGAAAACGTCATCCACGAACACGAACACGTCATCGATACATTTCCTTCCCCCGACAAGTAAGGAGTTACCGAAAGCGTGCTGGCAGAGCAACGAGAGATGAACGCGGTCGAAGTCCTCCAAGCAGTTTCGGTCACGCTGAACGTAATGGTTTTTCTCCACCACGCATTACCCATAATCGTGAACAAATTACACGGAGCGTGGAAAACGAGCCTCCCGAATGGACCCTTTTCCGAATAACTCACGCACGACAGCTACAAAAAACGTTAGTTTCATTTCAATGGATTGAAAAATATTTGATAAGACAAAAAAATAGATACTTATTGTGTGTTATTTCTCCCTCAGATATCTTCGCATACAGGTTAGCACGGTCCTACCGACGATCGCCGTCGCGGTCACGTTCACGTCGGGCATGATGACCGACAGAACGAAGGCGAGCACCATCGACATCCGGATGCCGTTCAGCGTGACGCTCGGCGTGTTCGTCTTCTACTTGTTCTTGGACGTGTCGGAGAAGCGGCCGATCGACTCGATCTTTGACGCTATGGTAACATCCGCATTCATCCAAGCACTGTCGAAAGGAGAAGAACCGTTAATAGGATTGATCGTCATGACGTCGCAGGGGAGCGGAGTTCTGGAGCAGATACAAGGACAGATGAAATCGTGTTTTACTCACTCCGAGTATCCTTCTCGTCAAACTTTAGTTGGAACGGTTTACGGATACGCGATCTCCACGTACCTCTTCAACGGGTTGGTTCCGTTTGCCTACTTGATGACAACATTCGCGCAGGAGAAGACGATGGCTTCGCAAATATCGTCAGTTTCGATAGGATTTTTTTACATGTTCCTGATATTTTTCAGTTTCATGAACGGGTGGTCGTTATGCACGGCTACGAGTGCGTGCAAAGCACTCGATCGTGGCCACGAAGAACGGCCCGTATATCTCTCCCGTCTTATCCTCCCTCTTACGAGGAAGCGATGGGCATTGTTTAAATAAAGAAAGTTAACTGTCATGATTTATACAAAAAGTATGTAGATTTTAAGAGATTTTGACAAATAAATAACAGGAAAAAAAATATGAAAAAGTCTAATTGTTAGTTTTTTTTCTTCGTTGTACTTTTCGACTTTTCTGGACTTAGAAAAAATTTCGGCTTTCCTGGACTTATAATTTCGACTTTTTTGGACTTAGAAAAATTTCGACTTTTCTGGACTTAGAAAAATTTCGACTTTTCTGGACTTGGAAAAGTACCCATGACACAATAAGGGTTAGGATCGACGTGCCACTTTGAATGCGGTCGGCATGATGAGGAAGGTACCCATGACGTCATTGGGTGGAATGGACTTCCATTTCGTATTTTAATGTAGAGTGAAACGTCGTCGTGCTTTTACGTACCATGGGATGATATTCGCCACTACCTTACTGCAGAAACACAACATCAACGCAAGAACGCAAAAATACTGCGACGAAGTTGCGTTTCCACAGGACGACCGGGCTGCCGGCCGATAAAACGTTGTTCAGACGCTCACTGATCGAGTTGTTGTAGTGGTATGTAGCTCCGCGGCTTCAAGCTCGGCTTCAACACTTTTTCGTACTTTCCCGGTTTTGGGAAGACACGATACTTCATCGTCATCAGTTGTTTCTTCGCAATTCTGCACGAGGAGAACAGGTACCAGAGAAGCGCCCAGCATTCGTTCACGTTCAATCCGGTCGCCCTCCGTTCTTTGATGACGTCGTGCAGCAGACGGTAAAGTGCCGAAGTATCCGAGATCAACCTCGATCTCGTCGATTCCAATATATTCCGGTTTCCGTTGACGATGACGTTGATGATGGTTTTCGGAAACACTCGATCGAGTCGTTCTCTGTCTCCTACAAACTCGAGACAACATTCGTGTATACTTCTTCTTCGGTTCTTCAGCCAAAGCAATTGCATTCTTGCGGACGGGTTCAAACTTGGTCTTTGTCTAACGAAGGAAGGCATCGTGAAACAATGAAATGAAACACTTTTTGAATTGCTCGTCTCGCCGATGTATTGCTTTATACATGCTGTTCGGTGACGTCATCGTATCTCATATGTTTCATTACTGCAGGTACCCATGACGTCATGTGGGTTGGATCGACTTGCAACTACAAACGATCATTATGATTGGCCAGGTACCTATTGGATACTATAAAAGGCCAGGAGATTCGAATCGATTCACTCGTTTAAGAGAAGTTTTGCAAGGAAAGTACGTCAAACTTACTAAAAGGAAATGTCTCAGATGAACAACGCTGCTGTGCCATCCTACCGCGACGACTGCTGTTTAAACGGAAATACGGATGGGAACGACGAGTTGAAGTTCGAGGAAGAACAGGAGTTGCTCAAAGCGAATCCGTTTCACGTGCAACGGCGGAAAGCTTGGGTACGCATGCTTGCGGACGGATCGGAGCATGAGCTGAGGAAGAAGCGACGACGTTGATCTTTACAGGAGAGAAGTCGAGAAGCGGGAAGACGAGCTGATGGCCGAGGATCGGGAACGCGGCTACATCCTCAATGCGAATCCGTTTCACGTGCAACGGAGGAAAGCTTGGGTACGCATGCTGGCGGAGGGATCGGAGCATGAGCTGAAGAAGAAGTTCGGCGACGAAGAGGATCGTTACAGGAGAGAAGTCGAGAAGCGGGAAGACGAGCTGATGGCCGAGGATCGGGAACGCGGCTACATCCCGTTTACAGTGCATGTCGATAACCCTGAGTATCTTCCCTCCGCCTGCGCTTGTTAAGCTTTTTGAAACTTACATCAATTGTTACAAACATTAAAAATGAAAAGTGAAACTAAATAAAAGTTAAAGAAATAAATCTGTGTCTGTTTTTTTTTTCTTTTATTTTCCCCGTTTTTAATTGTTTCTGTGAGAGAGTAATGTTGATAAAGACAGAACGATAAATGTTTGAATTTTTATGGATTTTTGGACTTTAGTTTCGGTCGTCGAGTGTCTTGGCCATACTGTCGCATGATATAAATAT